ATTAAGGATCATTGCAAATTAACTACTTTTGTTATGATCTTTATAAATAAGTAGGATACTGGATAATGTTCTCTGAGGGAGATTATTTCATATCTTTTCTCTCTTGCTCCACTAGCCTCGGGATATTATCGTGTGGTATTGAGCAGAGTGTTGTATCTGTACTTAGATGTATAGATACTTAAAGTATACATAGTGGCATATATTACTTAGATAGCTTTTCCTACCACTAGGTTGATAAATGACAATAGGTTCCTGATGGAAAACACAGCAGATGAACAACAAATAACAACCATGTTTTCAAGAAAAAAAAGCCTTTTTGTTCCATAACCGACATACTGAGCACCATATTAAACAAGCTATATTAAACACTATAATAAACAGGCTTATCTTCAGAAAGTGATGCAGTAAACCTTTGCCACCCCACCCCCGTTAATAATGTATTTGTGCCTCTCTGCCCCTTTATGTGATCTGAGCACACTTGGGAGTTAAACTCCAGATTTTGAAACTTTTGGATATCTGTGAAAAGGATTGCCCTTCCAAATCAGTATGTGAATCGCTAATGAGTCTCAGGTTTATACTTCTTGGGAGGAGTTTTGAACATCCAAATACAGAATCTGCAAGAATTCAGCACATTCTGAGCTGTCATTGAGTTTAGACAAGTGTTTTAAAGTTTCATTTCTTAAGATGGTCAGTGGTAGCTGGGAACCACGGTGTAGTTGTATGGGTTTGCAGTTGGTTCTCTAATGCGTCCTTCGGAGAAGGTTTTATTTCACGCTTGTGTGAATCTTTTTCCTCACTGTTTAGGGTTTGGGAACATGCACACATGAATAGTCATGCCTCTATACGATCAAACATTTGATATTTGACTTTCTCAATGCTTGAGTTCTCCTAAGGCCCAAAGTGTTTAGTAAGTAAGCAAGCAGCCGTAGACTTTCAGCTTTGAAAGCTCTTTGTGGTGACAGACGCAGAAGTCTAATTGAGCCACCGTTCAGCTTGAAAGTGCCAAGGGAAGTCAACCGCTCTGTGAGCTTCACAGGCATGATAGATGATTTTTGAAAAAGAAAATTTCCGTGGGAGTGTGAAAATGTATTTCCTAAGAGTCAATGGGAAGAAAAGAGAGATTTGCAGCAGCAGCAAAGTCTCTTTTATCAGATAATCAGAAGCATTTTGGTCAACATTGACAATAAATGCTAACTCCCAAAACAGCCCTTTCTCTCCAAAGCTGAAGACAGGAATGTTGTGTTTCTAATACTTGTTTGTTTTTGGTTTCACAAGGATTGTGTTTTCTCATTTTCTTTAAAGGAGATAATGCAAAAAGCAATATGGGATATTACATTAAGATAATCATCACCAGCATTTGAGCATTTAGTTTATTGGAAGCTCTGATAAGGAAATACAGTGCTAACATTTGACAAACATCTACTTCTCTCTAGAAGCTCTTTCCCACTTTAGGGTGAGGTTTTTGTTTTTAAGACTTGAGGTTTGTATTACAGCACTGAGAGCTGGAAATGTGCATGGAGGAGAAAGTAGCAAGACTATATTCTGTTTAAGAAGCAGTCTTATGAAGGCACTGCCCCCCCCCCATAAAATACATTCTGATTAGAAAATTACCATTGTCTTTCAAATTGGGGAGCACACAGGTTGATCTGTGTCAGACAAAACCAGCTTGCCTGCCAGCTCTACTTAGATCTAAGTTCAGAACTTTCACTTTGAAAATTTCTTTTCAGTTTGAGAAGAAAAAAAGTTTTAAATTATAGTCATTTTATAAAAATTGCTTCTAGCAAGCGAAAAAGCCCACGGAAAACCCATAATTTAGACAAGTACCTACATTTTATTTGCTCTGTGCTGCTGAGATTTAGAACCCCTTTCCATTTACAGTTTACTTTTCACAGAACATTATTAACTTTTTGGCTTCATACATGATCTTCTGTCAGATGCTTTTGATTGGTAATTTAGCAAAGTATAATAAACAGTGCAAAAGTCATGAATTTTGCTCTGTATCCTGAGCTCTGTGGTAGGGAAAATGTGATAAAATGTGTACCTTAAGTCTTGTTTGATGATCTCTCAAAGCACGTTTGCCTTCTGGAAATAATTTCTGGGGTTGAAGAGCATGGTATTAACAGATTTAATGTGGCTATTCAATGGATTGACGAAGTACTATGTGAGGTTTAACAAAATGAGAGAGACAAATTGAACATCAACAAAAGTTACATCTGTGAAGAATTATAAATTTAATTAGAAAAAAGGCAAAGTTAAAAGACCTCATTAACTAATCAGAAGTCATAGTTACTAGTGTAGGAGTCTTGAATTTAAATTCTAAGGAACTCTGTTATCTTTTTCCTTTTTCTTTTCAGAAGTCTGACAATATGCTACAACTGTGTGTATTCTCCGCAGAGTTTTTAAAAGGCATTAAAATGAATGACTCTGTTGTACTATGAGATGATCATTCATAATACAATGGGTGCTAATTTTGTACCTCTGAGAGTATTGGAATTAAAATAGCAGATTAGAATTATATTAAATTTACAGATAAAGCGAATAAGCAAACATACTGCTGCCTAACAGAAAGTTTTTAGAAGCCATGAACTCCTGCTTCTTTTAAATGAAAATACCCTTCATTAATTATTTTTGAAATGCACTGTGGTTTTAGAGCTTTAACACACACACACACACACACACACACAAAACTTCCATAGACATTGTCAAACATGAGAGGAAATTGCCAGCCATCAGGAATAGGTGTCCTTTTTAGATAAGCCAGTGAGGGAGTAAGGATGTCTCCCTACTGCACTGTAATCTTGCACTGCACATAAAAAACTAAAAGCATGTGAAGTGTAGCATTTTGTAAACTGTAACTAATTTCACTCACATCTGTGTCTAATTGTTGTCTGCATTCGCATTCTTGAGAGTAGATTTATTTTTCCTGGACCACGATGTGGGTTCAGCTGACCAGCCTAAGTGAGGATTAGTTGTTTTAAAGTTATTTTGATTAAAGAGTCATTTTTAAATACAGTAACACACAACACATGGTTTAAATAATCCTTCAGACACAAAAGAATATATCTGAAGTACACTTAATGAAAGGAAGATCGTGGGTACGGACTTGCAAAAACTGCTCTCTGAAAGTACAGTAGAAACTGGGCTGCCAGCAGAAAGGAAATACATTGCTAAATGGCATATATTTTTTCAATAAGGAAATACATTAGAATAATTCTTATTTGTAGGTTCTTTTTATTATTACTACCAAGTTTGATTTAAAAAACAAAACAAAACTGAGAAACGGCAGGTTTTAAACTTCAAATATAAAGACAATGAGGCTTTCAAAGTATAGAATGAAATACAAATTCTGTTTCTGAGATGATCTTTTTTAGCTGACTTTAAACGGGGATGTATTTTAGCATTGCACAGTAAGTATGCTTTAACGTACTCTTATGTAATTAAGCCAAGAGAGTTCTTAAAATGAAGTCCGTTCTCACCTATAATTTATTCCAGGTGTATAAAAGTAGGGGAATTTTATCCTTGAGATATATTGCTGCAGTTTCTAAAGGAAACTATTTAATCTTTTGTGAGAACATTAATTTAAAAAAAAACTGCAGAAACCTGTTATCAAATAATGGACATCTGCAGGCTTTAAAGTTAGTAACTTCAGTTACTCAAATGTCTTAAAAATTGTGTTTGTCCTGCACGTAAAAAAAAAAAAAATCCATACCTAGAAGTTCCACGTAACATTATCCCAAGACGTTTAAACAGAAATGATGCTTTATTCTTGCTCGAAAGGTCGTGTTTCTTAATTTCATAAATCATAATTAAAAACCAGCAGGACTCAACAGAAGATGTTTAGGTGGATAACTTTAATGTCATTTGAGACGCTTCAGCTCTCATCTTTGTTCTGCAGCCCTAATTGATGTCAGTTCAGGTTGAATGAAAATGCACATCAAAGATTTGGAATTCGGTGCCATTTTAAAAGTTAGACAGAGTGCTCCTTCCTGCCTGTCCAAACATTGGTGGGAGCTTGCAAGCTGGCAGGAGCCAGGCTCACCTGAACCTCATTACCTGCTGTTGGCCCTTCCAACTGCCTCTGAAGGGCAATGGCTAGTACAAATTCGAACTAGTGAAGCTGTGTGTGAAGTTCCCCAATTCAAGTTTATCTGGAAACAAACTAACATGCAGGCTGCCTGGGCTGGTGAATTAGAGTACTTAAATATGCGTTCTATTTCACTCTAAAATATCACACACACACACACACACACACACACACACACACACAGAGTTTCTTTCATATCGTCCAGCATAGCTGTATATAAATACTCATTAGGTTTTCACTTGGCATAGTTAAACAAGTACAGTGCTCAGCGGTGGGACTTTGGATATGAAAACCTGCCTTTGCCTTGTTTCTTGAGCACAGCATTGCCTGAAGCTGTTTCATTGAATCTTAAGTGTCAAATAGTAAGGGGTGAAAGCCATCCCGATAAGGCTAGGGAATGGTCAGGAGGCTAAGGGGGTGG